GCAGTTATGTATGGCTTGTATGGATCGTTGGATATATATGGTATGTGGTATTTGGGGAACTCACTAAGCTTCGTGCTTATGGGTTTCAGTTTTTGTTTTAGGTACTCCTGTTTTCAAATGAAAGAGCTCGAGCGATCGCAGCGCATACACTCGTGTTTTCCGCAATACGTGATCTTTGGGTTGGACTCTGATAGTTGTTTTATTTGAAATGCTTTTCAATGTTTTCAACAAACTTACAATAATCTTCTATTTATATTAAAAATGAAATTTTTTATCCTGGATTTTTGGGGTGTTACATCAAGGCATCATTTGCATCATCTCGAAGCATTGTGAGTATTCACGACTCCCCCTATTTTCGGTTTTTATGTTTTGGGGTGGAAAATCATGTCCGAAAAACTATTTATTGATCATTTTATTTAAATTTATTTTTATCAAACTTGATTGGGGTACTTTTCTATGTATGTCTACGCAACTTGAAACATGAGGCCTTATCGTCTTAAGTCCCTTCCCTTACACTTTACTCCAACCAGTAACTCTTTGAGCCAGTGGTCATTATGGATAACGCTATTAGGAATTTACAGCTCCTCACTCAGCCGATTGCTGGAATGCATGATACCATATTAATCTATGGAACGATAAGCATATATCGTGATAGGGCATCAGTCATAGGCTTGGTTGTGAACTTATTGTTTGCTCACATGCATATAAACTAGCTTACTTATTATAGCAACGGATTTTGTTTTCTCATTATAGCAATGAACTTTTATTGCTGGAAACTTATATACTTGTTTTAGCAATGAAATTGTTTTCTTCTTGTAACAACGAACGTTGTTTGTCATTATAAGAATGAACTTTTATTACTACAAACTTATTTACTTGTCTTAGCAACAAACTTGGTTGCTCCTTGTAACAACGAACTTGTTTGCTCCTTGTAGCAACGAACTTGTTTGCCCCTTGTAGCAACGAACTTGATTGCTCATTATAGCAATGAAACTTGTTTACTCATTTTAGTAATGAACTTTATTTCCCATGATAATATGAACGTTGCATATCATTTGGGCAACATACTTTATCTCTCATGATGACAACGAACTTTGTTTATGCAAACTTATTTACTCATTTTTGCAATATATTTCTATTTATGGAAACTTGTATCAACACTTTGATTACGATTTATGAAACCAATATTATTTTTAACTTGTGAAGTCACCAACTACTTTTATAGTTGACGCTCGTTTTACATGATTTTTCAGGAATCACCTAGTAAGAGGCACGTACAGACACAACACTTGTAGGAGCATTTGCATGTGTTGTCTTTCAAATACATTGTAATTTATTTTAAAATTTGTTCAAAGTCATTGTAAATTGTAATACTTTTAATACTATGGTTGGTGTTGTCTTTTAACTTTTTCTATGAGACCTGTTGTACTGTCGCGTGTCGTGTTTCCGATTTAGCGGGCTGTGACATTGATGCATGAGAAGGAACTGATTAATGGTTAATTCATTCAATGACTATCAGTTTATTGATCACTGTTACTCTACACGTGGAGTTAGCTAGCTCTTGGGGTAGGATTTGTCTAAACTTATGCCATTTCCGATCCAACATGATCTGTATCATCAATCGAACTTCATTCATCATGAACTGAGTAGCTCCTGCTCCAACATTTTGAGGTGATGGACCTCCTTCCTTCTTGACGAATCTATCGCTCCTTGTGATCGTCATGTCGTTCTAAACCAATAGGTTCAAGTATTTTAGAGTAGTAATACTTTACTTATATATATATATATATATATATATATATATATATCTATATATATATATATATATATATATATATATATATATATACACACACACTTTTCTAGCACATAGTAGCAGTTAAGTCATCTACCTATAGTATGATATTGCTTGAATCTATAATTTAGGCATCTACCCTAAAGCATGCTATCATATAAATCATTTAGCACATAATAGCTATTAAGGCACATTCCCTCCTTGCAACATATGGCTTGCAAGTTGTAAATTCCATATACTTGAATTTGTTTCCAGGTTCATTATTTCTCATTACCTTAGGTTGTTCTGGTCCTTGATAACTCTCAAACTCATTCTTTTATTCCTGGACCATTATTACATGTGAAGGAACTAGTCAATGGGGAATCCGTAGGTTTTCAACCCACATTCATATCATTTATTTATCTCAACAAGAAATTAACCTGATTACCCATTCCTTTTATTCTCACTTTTTTACATACCTTAAAGGATCTCTGTGAGTAGACAATACTACTTCGAGAAATCCATAGTAATTTGTGCTAATAAGGCAACCCTAAGGGGATAGAGTAGCTAAACGAACAACTTTCCTTTTCTGTGAAAAGTATGATCATTGACACCTATTGGTGGCGAACCTGCTAGGGTTCCACTAGACTACATAGAATAGTCAATGTTCATCATCTATACTCTGTTAGATAACGTGTCTTGGTAGTATAAATAGTACAATGCATGGCTTCTCACCATTATTTTATTTTCCAAAAAATGCTTTGCTACCCAATGCAAATTTAAAAATGATAAAGTAATTTATACATTAAAATCATATAATGTTATTGCATATAGCACGTATATCAAGAAAACATATAAGAAACATATATATCATATAAATATACTTCATATCTATGTGTAAACTGAAAGTAACTATGCACTTACTATTAAAAGTGGATGCCTTGGAATTTGGGAAGTGTTTCGCTTAGCACATTAACATTTCCCTTGATGTGACCTACGTATGATTGCAACTAATTAATAGTCTGATCCTCTTCATTACTAATGATAGTGAAGATTTCTCAACAATCCCAATGTCTACATAGAGATGAATCAAGTAAGGAATAACCAGGTAGGATCATATATGAGGTAGAGTCCATTTGGTATACAAAGTATACTATTTAGAAATCCCACTTTAAACACCTCACAAAATCCAGCCTAGACATTACACTCGTAAGTAGATAATTAAGTATTATGACATGGAATCACTAATAAATCTTATTTATAAATTCATAACAATTAATATGAATATAAATATAAGTTACACTGAAATAAATAAGAGCGTAGCGTAATTACAGAGATTCTCTAGCGAAAACCGGTAGATTGGCTGACAGAATTCCGACCCTAGAGCTTCTACTAGTAGATCCTATTTACCCATAGCTTCACTAAACTAAATTAATTTGAAATCCTGACGATAGATATCTATAATCGAGCCTAAAAGTTGAGAGAAAGCTTAGAACGGCGTGGAGAGTAAATGTGAGCAGCAAAGGGCTTTTATTGGCGAAAAACTCGAATGTGCGCCGCGCCCAGACAAGGTGCGCACCGTTCCCTGCCCTGGTCGTCTCCCTCCTTGCGACACGTGGCGAAATATTGTTGCAGCTAAGTAGTCGGTTTCTATAAGCACGCACCGCGCATAGCATGCATATATATGATTTTTGAAATTTTTAAAAATTCATATCTTCTACATACGAGCTCCGTTTTCAACGTTCTTTATATCCACGTGTAGCTATCGACGAGATCTACTACTTTCTTTTAGACTTCTTCAACTAGTTCTTACTTTATTCTTAAAGATATATTTTTATATGCTTAGACTGTTAAAGTCCATATATAAATCATAACTCTCATACGATATCTGTTCTCAACTTTCTTTATTTCGATGGATAGGTATTGACGATATCTTCAACTCCCGTTTATGATTACTACAACTTTCGTTTAGATTGCTTAGGCTAATAATTATTCCATATAGAATTCACTTTTTATGACGTGCATAGTAGTGTCGGTTTAATCATGAAACATCAAAGAAGCATAACTTCTTTATACAAAGTCAGATTTCTGAGTTCTTTATATGTATGTGATCCTCCTTACATCTACTATAACTTTAGTTAAGATTATTTATCCTAAATAATATTCTATCAAAATGTCGTTTTATCGGTTATCGATAAATTCCCAAAACGGATTGTAATATGTAGTCAGTGATGCATGGGACTAGCGATCTCCCCATTCGAGGGTTCAAATTATAAAAATTAGTACTTATTATATCTTAATTTTTCAAACCATATTTGTGGGCGTTACAGTTGACACTACTAGAAAAACAGCCTTTTACGACGCGTAATGCGTGTCGTAAAACGCTCAGACGACGCGCAAATGCGCGTCAAGGTAGGCCCTCTCATAACGAGAGACGACACGCTTTTGCGCGTCGTCTATAGACGACACGCATTTATGACACGCAATGTGTATCATTAAAACCCCTGTCAAGAAAGGTCATGTCATAAATGAAGATGACACAGATTTTTCCGTATCGTAAATTTAAATGTTTAAAAAAATATATTTATTAATTTTTAAATTAAATTTGCATTTAATGGCTCATAATAGAAATAAAATACCATATGCAAAAAATACAATCCATTGCATAAAATTTAATGTCATACAAATTTATTTCTTACAGTATATAAAATTAATCTACTCTGTGTTTCATAAAAAAATCTAATTCATGCGGCTTCTTCCATTTCCTTTATTAGCAGCTTCCATCATTAGTAGTACAACTAACAATTCAAATGAAGAATGCAGCACCTGCATTTACAGCATCTTATCTCTTTCAGCTTGAGCTTTCTTTTCCTCTTCTAACTCCATAAGACAAGAAATATTCCCTCATCTCATCTGCAAATCAAAGTGAACACAATATTCCCCAGCATCCATTTATCTCACTTATATTATTCCATTTCTAAATAAGTGATTAATAATAAATTTACAATAATATACAAAAGAAAAATATGAATATTGGTTATTATATTTAAACCTTCCAGACTTTGAAATATTTTAATTATGTTGATGGCAATGCACTTGTTGTTTGTTGTGTGAGACAAACATTAGTTGTATTGTATTTCACACCACCAGTTTGCATGAAATAATTAAAAAAAATGACACACATGCAAAAAGAATGAAATTTGTCAATTAATTTGTAATTTTTAACTTACTTTGTTTTTGAGAATAGCGCACAGGCTGTCAGCATGAACACCAAGTAGAAAAGAGTATGGAATGCGTTTGCTGCCATATCTGCCAAACTGATCCATCAAACAACACAACACATTATTTATTAATTATACCACTCAAAACTCAAAACTAACAAAAACAATAACACGACTAAATTATATGCTTTACACAAAATCGCAACTTCAGTCCAAATCTTCAAATTGTCCCAATGTTAGTATTTCATTTTATGCTTTACTCAAAAAATATTGCAAGTTTAGTCCAAATTTTCAAGTCATTTTATATGGTTGGTATCCGCAACAAAATGCAAACATAAGGATAAGAATAAAATTTTGGACCAAGCACAAGGATCATATTTCTAATTTAGTCTTAATTATAAATAATATCACATTTACCTTGAAGGTGCAGTGACATAGTAAGCGATGCCACCAAAAGGGACAGATTGTCCAGAGTAAGACTCCTTCCACTTTCCCAATAGATCAACCAAGAAATTTCCACTGTATTTTCTGTGTAGCAACTGCCAATCAAGAAAATAATATAAGCAACACAGATAAAGAAATTAATTCAAATATAAATATAATTATATGGGTACCTGAGAGATGAAACAGAGGTTGGAAAGAAGTGCAGATTGAAGAATGAAGGCCACTCCATCCTGAAGATTGAAGAAGTTGTTAAACTTTTCATCTGATATATATCTAAAAGATGAGAAGAAACTTTTAATCCTCAGATTTAATCCTCAGAAGAAACTTTTGAACTCCTAAAATCTTTTTTATGATTAGCAACCCTCTTCATGCAAGCCGCCTTTGATCTTCCAGGAACAGCAGTTGTGATCTTCTCCCACCTCAAGGCTGAATCTTTTGGGAAAACTTTTAAAGCATTTATAACTTTCATAATTGTAATATTTTGTAAAAAAATAAATTATACATAGAAATGACCAACCTATCCTCGTCGCCATTGAAGACGAAGACTTGCGGCTTCAGAAAGAGTCCTGAGTTCCAACTCTTCTTCAAGATTTAAGTGAAGAAGCTCGGATGCAATCTCGTATGTTAACATATAAGTTGGTCTGATAGTTGAATTATTTACTGTGTACTCTGCAATGTTGTTATCAAGTATTGTAGTAAGAACACAAAAATATATACATATAAATGAACTGAAATTCAAATTGTTTTATTACCTGCCATCAGAATGCAAAACAACTGATACAGAAACAGCCCTGCAATTTGTTCCTTGTTTCAAGCTCATTCCTTCCATGGCGGGTTTCTCAGGGAACATTGGATACGTGGCAGTTGGTAAAAAAACCGATGTTCCTCTTTGTAATGCTTATCTACAGTATAACAAAAAATATCTAACAAACTTAGTAAACATTAGACTTTAAATCCTTTTTATGTAGACAAGTAAATGTACCTATCAATCATGCTTCCTAGCTGAACAAAGCTTGATGCATCAGCAACATGTATCTAGACTTTGATACGGGGCTTGCATGTTGTAAAAAATGCACACCAGTCGGGGGTGAATTGCCTGCATGTTTCAGATGTTAGAGAAGGAGAAGGCTGTGAATCTTGCTTCTCTTGGAATGTTATTAGCGGTGGTGATGATCAAGCGCTCCACTCTTTAACTTTTGATGTGATGGGTACAGACAAAAGTTGTAACAAACATGATGATGCATATTATTGTCTAGAATATATATATATATATATTATATATATATATATATATATATATATATATATGTATAAACATAAACTTTGATCACCAATATCAATTTACATTCACAAAAGAATATGAATGTATGCAACTTGCTTGGATATAGCAGCTAAGGAATGATTTGAATTAAAAAGAAAAAAAATGTAACTGGGAAAGAAAGTAGAGGAATAGACCTCAATAGCCATGCGTGCCCATTTGTTCCCCATTTTAGCATGGAGTTCAATGATGCGGCGTTCTTCCTCTGGTGTAAATGCACCTTTTTTGAGATCAGGTCTTAAGTGATTTGCCCACCTTAAACGACAGCTTTTACCACAATGAGAAAGCCCAGAGTGCTTCTGAACAGCATTCCAATTCCCTTCTCCATTTTTGTTCACATAATCCACCAAAATTGCATCTTCAGCAGATGTCCATGGACCTTTCTTCAGTGTCCCATTTCCTATCATGTTTCTTTCACTGCTGGCTTCATCATTCGGTGAATTTATGCAATCCGTGGACATTATTCTCTCCTCAGTTTCACTTGTCATGTTGCACATCTTCATAACACACACACACACACACACATAGCTATCTATCAGCAGAGTGGAACTGGAATGTAATATTATAAACCCTGAAGAATGGTTCTTTCTTGTTGCACTTGGGACCACACAATACCCCTTGTTGCAATCCTTCATTTGTCACCTACAGTATCATATTAAAAGTATAAACATAACTTCTGATTGAAAACTCAAAAATATAGTGAACAAAAAAACAGAATATTTTGCTTACTCTTGTTCTCCCATCATCTACATCAATGTACACTGGAGTAGTTTGAAATGATAGGCGTGCAAGATCCTCAACCTGAGAAACAAGTATATAAATAAATAAATAAATAAATATTATCATGATTTAATGTAAACAATGAAATAAACAATTAAAATATACAAATGTGTATGAAAAAAGGTTTTACCTTCTTTGTTTGAGTTGCAGAAAAGAGAGCAGTTTGCCTTGTCTGCACATTACAGAGAACCAAGTTCAGATCACTAATGATACAAAAGTTAACTACCACAAGGGTAATATGGTCAGTTAGTTGAAGTGTTTGAAAGGGAATCAAAATGCACTTTTGGTTGTAATTTTTCTCTCAGTCATTTCATCATACAGTTGGCAAGCCCTAATTTGAGAAAAAACTGAAATAGAAGAGATAAATGGAGAAACTACCGACTTGTTCAACGGAAATTGGAATGCAAATAAACCCTTAGTTTGCAAAATTGACCATAAAACTTCTTTTGATCTTCCAGCTTGTGAGAAAGGGGAATTTGAACCTTGGTTTGCGGTGGTGTTGGTGGTCCGATGTAGATGGGGTGTTGGGGCGGCAATGGTTGGAGCTTGGAAGAGTGTGTGGCGGCCGTGGTCGTGGTGCGATCTAGCAGATGTGGAGATAACCCATAAATAAAAATCAGTAAAAAAGGAAAAGGAAATCAAAGAAATACCAAAGTATCCAGACCTGGGTAATTAAGAAACCTGAAAATGATGAACATTGGCAAAAAACTCTAACATGGGAAATATAAATCAATGAACCCTTGGCGGTCTGAATCTTGAAGAGTTAATACGTGGGTTGCCTTCCATATCACGGTTCCTTGTTTCATCGATGCCTATACATCCAAACAAAACACACTACAAATATGGTGGTGTGAGTGACGGCTAGGGTTCTTGAGAGAGAACAAATGATTTTTTGAGAAAGCGTGTGAGAATGTCTTTGAAGATATTGTGGAGAAAAGAATACGGAAAGAAGCAGGTCAAGGAATAGTGCAAGAACACTGTTGGCGAGTATTCTCAAGAACAGCAGAGATGAAGCAGGTGAAATCACAGCAAAGATGAAGCAGATGAATGGAAATCAGAAGCCTTTTTTCTTGATTGAGATGACGAAGTCGAGAGATGGAGATGAAATCGTAACCTTGGATCTTTGATTGAGAAGTTGCACAAACAGTGTAAGGAGAATGAAATATGCGTCAAAACGCTTAGGCCAAAGAGGGTAGCGGGCTTTTCTAATTTTTTGGCTTTTCTTTTCCCGCTTGTAACTAAGGAACACGCGTTCACAAAAATTATAAAGCGACACCTACAGAGGACGCACATTTAAGATACAGCGTCCTCCGTGTTTTTAATTTTTTTTCTTATGACATTAATTTAAGGGCACGCAATAATGCGTGACCTAAATCCTTAAATTTTCTGAAGAGATGACACTTTTTTAATGTCACTCTCGTTTGCGTAACATAAATTAATGAGTGTCGTGGTTTGCGCGTCGTAAAAGGTTGTTTTTCTAGTAGTGTGATGAGTAAAGGAAGTTCATAATCATGAATGGAAACTCTTGGGATGTTTTGAATTCAAAACGTAAGGTGTTGTTTGATTCCTAGATTGATATATGGAGTTATTGGCCATAAGGATAAAATGGGAAAGTTGGAATGGAATTGGACATTCCATAACTCCAATAAAGGATTAACATGAGATTTTTGTAATATTAAGAACTTGACAAAACCCGATGATGTATTTGGGAATGAGTCATAGGGGTTGAAGAGTGTTATTGAGCAATTTGAACTCTTAACCCTTTCAATTGAGTGACTATAAACATTTACTTTATAATAGTGGAATAGTGGAATAGAGGATTCCATAGTTAAAATAAACACTTAAAATGGGATTGGTTATGGTTTCATATACTTAACAACATCCTTTTGGGTGTTCAATAAGCTAGGAAAAAGTTTAGGAACTTTGGAATGTGCAATTGGAAAGTAGACTAGTTTAACTTTTCATTTAAGCTTAAGGATCAACTTATCCTAAAAGGTTCCAACTAGCACTTAATAGATTAAGTGGAGTGTTTTAAGATGATAAAAACCTCATAATCTTGTGTGAGAACTTACACAAATGGTAATAAGTGATTTGGAAATGGGTCTTGAAGAACTATACAAATTAGAATGTTATTATGAGATAAAATTCACATTTTGGGCATACAGATGATTCCACACGACCACGTGTGGAACCTCTTGTATGTTTTTCTCCTCATACTTTTGCATACGGACTAGGACTTACGCATGGTTTTCACATGTATTCATATTCTTCCATGAGGAATGGTTTAAAGCAATAAAATTTAATAATGGAACCTATGACGGGTATTTTAGTCATTATAATAACTTATGTCCATATTGTCTAGGATGTGCTGGAAGAGTATTGCTCTAATGAAAAGGACTAGAAGAGGACTATCTAAGCTTGTGTGGTTGAGGTGAGTATGTGTTGGCATTTTCCCACTTTGGGGTACATGGAGAAATTATTTTATGATAATGAAATGCAATGCTTTGATATATGAAATGTTTTGAAATGAAAGTGTTAAATGTTTTTGAAAAAATGTTTTGAAAGATTGCCTAGGTATATGGAAAATTTATTTTAGGATAATGAAAGTAATAAATGTTTTGAAAAGAATGTTTTGAAAGACTTCCTTGAAAGTAAGAATGTTTTGAAAGCAAAGAATATTTTGGAAGAACAAATGTTTGATATGTTAAATGTGTTTTTTCATAGTATATCTTCCTAATAAACAATGTTATTATAAATGATGATATGATTACTGATAATGTGGAAAGTGATAGCTAAAAAGAAACTAAAAGGGAAAGAAAGTAGAAAGGAAAGAAAGTAGAAAGGAAAGAAAGTAAAGAAACAATGCAAACTGCCCAGACCGTGATGCCTCAAAAGAGGTCTAGAGGAATCTATTGGGGTGGTACCTTTCCCTTCACAAAGTAGATATATGTTATGCATGATGCCTTAATGGATTTATTTTGTTCTTTCCACGTCAGTCTTGGAAATGATGCCTTGGTGGGCAAGTTTTATTCTTCTCACCTTGGTCTTGGAAATGATGCCTTGATGGAATGGTTTTGTTCTTTCCACCTTGGTCTTGGAAAAGAGAAATGGAAAAAAAGCTAATGAAATGATAAGATATGAAATGACACTTATGATATGATATGTTGTGTTATGTATGAAATGATTTTCATGTAAATGATTGAAAATGATTTATGGTATGAATGGAAGTTGCTTTTCTTGAAAATGATTGAAAATGCTTTATGGTATGAATGACATGAGTTTTTCTATAAAATGATTGAAACTTTTTCTAGTCTAAAACCCATGTAGGTCATGAGAAATTTTTGTCTTACGTATCTCTTTTTAATTCCATGTATCCCACGTTATATGCAAGGATAAAGTGATACTTGATAGAAGCTTGATGATGTGTCTTGATAGATGGAGTGGAACTTCCTTATCAACGTACTGATATAATTCTTATTTTCTTGCTATGATTATGTAAGATGCTTAATGTTAATACCTAATATTTTAATTGTAAATGTTTTTATAAGAACGGTTTTAGTTAAGTGTGGGTTAACACCCGAAATGATTTTTATAACCATAGCAATTGAAAAAGTTTTACAAAAAATTTTTAGGGTGTTACATTCAACTTTCCTATCAATTGATGTTAAACAGGTGGCTCAGGCAACATATTATATCCGTAATGGGAGTTATATATTATTAGCCCACATGTTTATGGGCCCTTTAGTCTTTAGCCCTTTAGGGTTTTGTCTAGTTAGTATTTATTCTCTGCTTTATTCTTTGTAGCATTTATGCTTTTCATTGAGAACCTTATAATTTCTCTCTATCATAATCATATGGCAATGTTATCAGATGGTTTTTAAAGTTGATTTTGATAAGGCATTTGGTTCATTAAATTGGGGTTTCTTGGACTCGGTTTTGGAGCAAATGGATTTTAGTAACAAATGGAGGGAATGGATCAAAGGATTTCTTTCCTCTGGTAGAGCTTCGATTCTTATAAATGGTTCCACTTCAAAGGAGTTTGACATTTAAAAAGGGTGTTAGGTAAGGGGATCCTTTAGTTCCTTTTTTCTCTTCATTCTGGCCATGGAGGGTGTAGTGTCACACTGCAGGAGGCTTGCGAGCAACATCTGTTTCAAGGTATTCCTATTCCAAATAGTGAGAATACCTTATCTCATCTAATATACACGGATGATGTAACTTTTTTTTGGTGATTGGTCTGAAGTAAATGTGATTAATCTCAATAGAATCTTAAGGTGCTTCTTTTTAGCATCCGGATTAAAAGTTAACCTTAATAAAAGAAAGGTGTACGGGGTGGGGGTAAAAAACATAGAGATTGAGTGTCTTGCTAATATTTTGTGTTGTGATGCCAGTAGTCTTCCCTTTACCTATCTTCGTCTCCCAATAGGAGCAAACATGTAACTTGCTGGTTCTTGGAATCCGATTATTGATAAGTTGAATTCAAAATTATCTGCTTGGAAAGCTTACACTCTTTCTTTGGGGGGGGGGGGGGGTGGGGGGCATTTAACTCTTGTTAAATCAGTTTTGGGGAGCCTTCCTCTTTATTACTTCTCTCTCTATAAAGCGCCTAAAAAGGTCATTGATCGCTTGGAGTCTATCCTTTTTGAAATTCCTTTGGAATGAGAATCTTAATAGTAGAAAGATTCATTGGTTGGCTTGGAGGAAGGTG